AGATGGGTTTTCTCCGCAGGGTGGCTGGCGTCTCCCTTAGGGATAAGGTGAGGAGTTCAGTCATCCAGGAGGGCCTCGGAGTTGAACCGCTCCTCCTTCACGTCGAAAGGAGCCAGTTGAGGTGGTTCGGGCACCTAGTTAGGATGGGAGGAGACCGAGGGGTAGACCTAGGACCAGGTGGAGGGATTATATCTCTTCGCTGGCCTGGGAGCGCCTTGGGATCCCCCAGTCAGAGCTGGTTGATGTGGGGAAAGGAAAGTTTGGGGCTCTCTGCTGGAACTGCTACCCCCGCGACCCGACCACAGATAAGCGGGAGAAGATGGATGGATGGCTGCCATTTCAACTTGGAATCGGCACAGTAATATAAATCACTTTGAATGACTAAGAGTGCAAGAGAAGAGAAACTGTTGTGAGAAAAACCAATAAAATACTAAAGAGGGCACGCTTGTACTGTCTTTTCATTTACTTCTTCGTCTCTTCTTGTCATTCTCATCCATGGATATTTCACGACACGGCCATTTGGAACAAAGCTCAGTGGTGAGGGAGATTTGTGGAGAAATTGTCAGCAAATCCTGTTTTTTTCAAAGTTCGTATCATCAACGGCTTGTATTTATTTTTTACAGTTGTACGTTTTCGGGTTTCCCTTTTTGAGTGAGGAATACAGAGCATACTGCTGCCTGCTGTTTGGACTTATTTCCTAGATGAAAGTTGGTGGTTTGCTGAAGTGTATGCGGGGGATTCAAATGCAACCTTTTGGCCAAGAATCAATCAACGAGGCAGCACAAAGATATTGAAGTGACTGTTATTTTGTATATATTGATTGTTGTGTTTTTTATCTTAATGTGTGCATATATATAAATGTGTCTGTTGATTGTGTGTATATAGGATATACATATTAGTATACATATTTTTATTTTTGTATTCGGGATTGTGGGAAACAGTATTTGGATCTCTCCGACTGTACACACAAACTGAAAGATTGACAATAAAGCTGACTTTGACAACATTCGGCTCCGTCTCCACTTGTTCTTTGCTGTTTATTCGGTGTGTCAGAGCCTTAAATCTGCAGGTTTGGGAATCACCTTGACGACAGGATGTCCTGATGGTGTTGCCTTCACGGCTCCTCGGCTCCCCTCCGTCTCATAGTGCGCTCTGTGGTGAGGGCGCGGCTGCACCTCGATCCGCAGCTCGTACTGGTCGAACTGGGACGGCAGCGGCCAGTCCAGTGGCGGCAAGGCGTTAGTCCTACACATGGTTTACAAAAGTCAAATATTAGACAGTTTAAAGGAAGCAGAGAACATTTAAAACGACACTTACATGACAGTGAATAACTATTTTGAAAACCAAATGAATTGTTTCAATTTGAAAACATCACAAACTGACTTGTAGTGAGTGGAAATTAGAAGTTTATATGTTAATTAATACTGTCTTATTTCTTCCTTGAATAAAAATAACAAGTAGACTCATGAAATGCTCTTATTTTATTGCAAGAACAAGTACATGGTGCAAGAATATTGCCTGTTTTATTGAAAACACAGTACTTATTTTCGCCAAACGTTGACTTATGCAGTACAGATTTGCATGTCAAAGTTCACTAAGCACAAGGATTGCACAACATCACTTGAGTTCCAGTAAAATAATTATTTTGGGCGTAGCATTTATCGTTAAAATGCTAGTTTGAAAAAGCTCTTGGTTTCATGCCAGCTGCTTTTTTTTTCGGGGGGAATTACCATTTGAACTGAACTGTTAAAGGATGTTTATTTTGTAAATTGTGTAATTTTTTATATGTTGTAACTTTTTTGTTACTTCAATACTTTTTTATGCATGCTTCTACGTAACATTAAGCTGTCTTTGGCTCTTTTTCTGCTGTAACAATGTACATTTCCCCTCAGTTGGACTAATAAAGGTATTCTGATCTGATTCTGATTTGGAAATTCACTATGTATAATTCCTTTTTAAACACACAATTGTGTTGACAATTTAACACATCAATATTAAGCTTCAAACTGTAATTTGTGATGCTGATAAATAAGTGGTGTGTATCCTTGCCTGAACAGAGGGCTTTGGGCGCTGGCTCGGGTCCGGCCCCAGGCGAGAGCGGGGGGCACCGGGAGGTAGTCCATGCCCAGAGGGGGGGGTGCTCTCCTGACCTGCTGGCTGTCTGGCAGCGGGCAGGGGGAGCTGAGGCCTGGAGCCGGCTCCGGATCCAACTCCCTGGGAGACAACTGGAGAACAGAAGCACTATTAGAGCCAGTTTGTTGGTCTGGTGTAAAAGGTCACACCTATTGGTGACCTCTGTAGTAAATGGGCGATAAACGACTGCGATTCCCACAATGCCCAGCCTTAAAGAAAGCCAGACTAAACACAGGTCTCAACCTTTAATATTTAAGTAATTTCAAGAGGCTTATAGAAACCAAGTTAATTAGGTAAGCCACAACAAGTATGGTTCACCTCCCTGGGAGACAACTGGGGAAAAAAAGTATTGTTAGTTAAAAGGTCACAGCTAGTGGCGACCTCTGTAGTCAATGGCCGATATAAGATGGCAATTCCCACAATGCCCAGCCTAAAGGAGTCACAGAAATGGGAAAACTCTTTTTTTAAGTGGCTTATAGAGCCCAAGGGAACTAAGCCACGACAAGTATGGTTCACCACTTTAGTGTGATGCACATTTTTGAAGATTTAAATATTTGAATCATCTCTCGTACACCATGGAAACATGCTAACGTCTTCACCTGCTCCAACGACGTCTTCCTGGTTTTCTGTGGGATGCTGAGCTCGCAGCTGTTGGGTGGAGCTTGAGACTGAGGTGTGGAGTCCCCTCCTTCAAGGTTGCACCCCTGAAGTTCCTCTGAGTAGCTGCCCCTCCGTGAAGTACATGGAGAGACCAGGGGGGAGTTTCTTCGCTTTTTACCCCCCGGAGAGGTAGGCCTGGAGGACGGCGAAAGCCCGAAATTGTTTGTGGCCTCGGTCAGCTCCTCCTCCTCCACCAGCAGGGAGTCGCAGCTGGAGGCGGGGCTTAGCCAGCCGCGGGACGAGGGGCTGGAGCCCGGACTGGGGCTGAGGGAGCCGGGGCAGCGGTCTCTGTAGGTGAAGGGGTCCAGCAGAGGGAGGTAGAGGCGCTCTCTGTCCCACCCCCCACCACCTCCACCTGTGTCCCAGTAACTGGAGATTGAGGGTGCGAGGTCGTCTTCAGGGGAGATGGTGGTTATCTGGATGCTGGGACACTCCACCACGCGAGACTCTGAAACCTGGAGGGCAGAGGAGAGAGAGCGTGAGATATCTTTAATTGTTTCTGAGTTAATAGACAGCAAATGCAAATGGTCAAACTCTCCGAATGTTTGTATTTGCTGCTACTCTCCGGTTTTTGTTTTATTGGAAATAAAAAAACGTTTTAGATTTGGGACAGTTGCACAGACGAAAAAAAAGCAATGTGAAGATGTAACCTTGGCATACGGGAAACTGTGATGGACACCTTTCACCATTTCTAACATATACTATGCAATTAAAAAGTATGAAATATTAATGGGTTTAAATGTAATTAGTGTCATACACATTTTTAGTGGTCTAAACAAAAATTTCAAGTGATTAGTTTGACTACATCCAAAGGCATCCATTTATACAGTATCTCTCAGAACATTCTTCATTTAATTTGTAATGTCCTTACAAAAGCATTATGTTTAGCACCTGAATGGTTAATATACTTAATTTTTCAGGTTTATGGGATGAATATTACGTCACATATTCAAACTGTGATAAAATGCTACAAAACTTGTCTTTCAGTGTTTGAAAACTCATGAAAGATCTACAAAACGTATATTTCCAACATATTTGCGCCAGTTATTAATGAACAAAATGTACAAGGTTTCAAACTTTGTGCTGCTTTTGTGAAAAATGTACGTTTTAACATTTGTTATACTTTATTCTTTGGCTCAGAACAACATGTAAGAAAACGTCTCAGTCTGTAAACACCCTTTGGTTTTTAGAAAAAGCAGGACTTGTAAAGAGTGTCTCACCTGCACAGAGCGCGCCGGCAGGCTCTCATAGGTCCCGCTGAACTCTCTGCTCTGGGCCCGGCGTGGAGGCGGGGAATGCATCCCAGCCCGCTGATTGGCCGAGGACGGCGGGCTGGGGATGCTGATCGAATGGTGGTTATCTGTAACTGATAGAAAGAATAATCAGGCTTAATGTGTGGAAACATGACAAACACTGGCACCAAAAGATGACTTAGTCACAAGGTAAGAACGCAGATTGTAAGCGCTCACCCTGTGACCTTTAAAGGATAATGTATCAAAACTTTACACAGAAGTTGGTCTAACTTGCTAAAAAAAAATGCAGATTATGAAATTCTTCGAATGAGGAGTCTGCAGTGAGTCAATTTGACTTAATATGCACTTTCACTTCCACATGGCATCAATTTATCCTCTGGCTGCTGTCTCGTAAACGTAATTTCTTTTTATATCATATGTTGTGGTTTTGAGGGTCATGTGAACTCCCATGAATCACTTTTCACAAACCGCAAAATGACAGTTAGCCCTAAAACGTGCTGTTCTCCTCTGGAACAGAAGAGACTCATTGGATGTCAATCAAAATACTGTAAACACTATTTGTGCTACAGCTCCATTTTTTATCATCAACGTGCCATTGATCAACTTTCTTGATTAACTGATCTGCAATTGAAGCCATATGGAAAATGCATGCAACTCAAACGTGTCTTTATTTATCCAAGCCAATATCATTCAAACAAGTGCAGCATTTGTTTTCACTTTATGATAGAGGAGTAGGTTTTTTCACTTTCTTGATAAGCACTAGAAGATGAGATTGATACCACTCTTATATCTAACATGTTCAATATGAAGCTAGCTGGGGCCAAAAGTTAGCGTAGCTTAGCATAAAGACTGGAAACAGATGGAAACAGCTAACGTTGCTCTGTGGAAATGTGAAAAGAAACAACTAACGGCCCCAGTAAAGCTCACTTTTAAAGCATTATATTTTTACTTACATCGCACAGTCAAAGTGGTACATTATGGTATTTGTGTCAAACTAGGTGTTTTCCTGTAGTCTTCAAGCTAAGCTTCGCTAACTGCCTGCCTGCTGGTGATAGCTTCACATTAAGTCATAATGGGAGTGTATCAATCTTAGGCTTCTTGTGTACGACCAGGTGAAGCTGCCATAGTTTGGCAATATGTGGCAAGGCAGCACAGAATGGTTAATTGAAAAGAAGTGACAATTTACTGTATATCGGAATATTATAAACATAGGAATAACAGAAAATGTTATATTCCACAATCTCACACAGTCAGAAAAGAAGAATTTACTCAACAGCTTCATAAATCCTACTTTGAGTGTGAAGAATATTTAAATACATGCTTTCCATGTATTATAGTCACAAATAGTGTAAAAGGGTAAAGAGGAAATTGTAACCAACATTTTTACTGCTAACAATAAACTTAACTCTGATGCTAATCTTGAAAGGCACGAAGATGATTTTTTTTTTTCTCCATTTCCTTTTTTCAAATTTCTAGAGGAACAGAATGTTTTGCAATCTTTGCCAAAAAATCACCCAAATGAGGACACAACCCCTGAAGACCACGGCCCTCGCCACAGCCGTTCCCCGGCACGGTGCGGTGGCTCTGCATGGAGCCAAACAGAAGTTACTGGGTAATGAGCGAGGCTCCAACCGATCATCGGGCCTTTCAGGCATTTTTTGGGCAACGCAGACACACAACAGCAACTGCCAACTGAATTAAGACTGAAAAATCTCTTCAAATGTTTCCTGGCAACAGAAATATTTCCAAGCGGTTAAAGCTGCAGTGCTGAGGCAACTTCTCCTTTCACATGAAACAATGATTTAGATGTTTGTGCGCAAAGCAGCAGAGAAGTTTATGAGCCACGAAAATGTACCTAACACTTTTTAAACACAATAAACTTTTATCTTAATTTGAACTGTAATATTTTATTGTGTGTGTCCTGAGTTGAACCCCTCACAAAATGGGATTAGGAACCACACAAAGGATGATTGGCTGGATAGCAAAGGAGAAACTATACATTTTTGCTGCATTGAACACGAATGTTTACTTTATTTTCTCAAACTGTTCCAGATGTTGCTTTTGTCGGGGAGAAAAAGGATAATTTTGCCTCCTCAGGGCTCTTTTAACTATTTAGAAAACAATAATTTAATTTAGACCTAAATTTAGAAGTTTATTACTACAAAGATGAACTTGATGGTTATTGGACTTGAACACAACTTGGGAGTACTTTGTTGTCCCTTTTTTGGGGGAAGCCTCCTCTTAGTTCTATCATGTTTAAAATAAAGTTATACTTCGTACCTTTCATAAGGAGTTATTCTTCCCTAACAGAGGGACTCGGGGCTGGCCAATAAAAAAACGTTTATTGGGCGGCTGCGGCTGAGGAGGTAAAATGGTTCTCCTTTAATCGGAGAGTTGGTGATTCGATCCAACATTTCCATGGGCAAGATGCTGAACCCTACATTGCACGATTATTGGGATATTCCACTATATTAACGCACGTTGCATATTTTCATCATATATTTGGACATTCTAGTCAATATGCCCAACAACGGGTCATAAAAGTAATCAGAGGGTCCAGATATGAGAGGGATAAAAAAAACGTTCTGCTAAAAAACTGTAAATGTAGACTTTTCTACTCTTACTCTTTCAATGTGAATCACTGGATCATTTTAGACAGTCCTCATTAAGTGGACGTGACATGTACTACATTAGATACAGATTTGTTTATATCATGACATGTTGTGGTCCTTACCTAAATCCAGACACTGACCATTAACAACTGAGTGTTCCGTAATAATCTTTAGTTTAATGTTACCTTTATAAAAAGTTGTTCATATCAAATTAAGTTCTATGCAGATATACATAATATACATTTGGGCTCAATTTGATATCTGTGGACAGTGTACCAAACGGATACCTGTGCTTTGATTTGAAGTATCAGTAAAACAAAAGGGGGATCAGCAGAGCTGTAACCTTCACTTCTATAGAAATAAATCTTAAAGACTCTCTATTTTAATTTTGTTTGTGAATTACTAAATACAGATGCTTCATCATAGTCATACAACTCAGTGTTTCTGCTGTACATGTACCTAACGAAGTCACTTTGCATTACTGACTTTTAGCTCCATAACAAACTTTAGACCCATTTTATCTCTTATAAAAGTTTGGATTTAAAGTGATAGAAAAAGGCTTTAAGCTCTTCCTAAATCTTAAAGTCTGTCCAAAAAAATAAAAGTCTAATAGGGTTTGGTTAAACTTCTCACAACTGATAGACAATCGAAACAGCGACCAGACGTGGTAAATTGACTTTGTTTTAAGAGGTCAAAGGTTAAAACCGTTCCACATGTTGGATAAAAAGATATGGAGAGTTTTAAACATGAATCTGAAGGCACAAAAAGCCAGAAGAGCGATTCCGTGCAGCTCTGATAAATAAAAATCAAGAGTGGAGAATTTTTCTCTTGTTTGTCCTGTAGTTCAATTTCATGCCTTGGGTGTGGTAATACAACTGTATGCCAGTGTGGGCGGGAAAAAAATGAGAGAGTGGATGTGAGGATACGAGGTGTGTGAGTGTGTGTGTATGTGTGTATGTGTGTATGTGTGTATGTGTGGGTGGTGAAAAATGGGGGAGATGGAGGTTGAGTGAGGGAGGGAGGTGTATGTGCTGCCTGTTCAGTACACAGAGGTTGAGGTTCCTTCCCAGATGGCAGCTGTTAACTCTCCTCACACGCACAGCCGATTAGAAACACATTGAGTCTGGGGCTGCACGCACACATGCACAAACACACACATGCACACAGACAGGAATACAATCAGATATACACACACACACACACACACACACAAACAAACACACAATAACAATATACTCAGGGTCACATGCTTACAGATAGAGGCACGCATACAACACACACATACGGAATTCACATAAGCACATGTAGAAGAAGGCGCACACACATCATACAGCAAGACACACACACACACACACACACACACACACACACACACACACACACACACACACACACACACACACACACACACACACACACACCAAACACATAATAACTTCACATAGGCACAGGCATAAATATAAAGGCCCTTACTTACAGCACATGCAACATGCAGCCACACACACATACACATAAACATGCAGCCACACACACACACACACACACACACACACACACACACACACACACACACACACACACACACACACACACACACACACACACACAGTTCCCATGCATTATAAGCCACACTGTCAGACTTCCTCTATCTACTCTGTCTCTTCACTTAAACACATGTAATCTTCCAATAAATGAAACTCACCCAGACTGCTGCTGCTGGAGGGCTCCAGGTGCAGCAGGGCGCACTCTGCACTCTCCTCCCCGGGAACAGAGCTCTCCGGCTCGGCTGTGAGAACCGGTGATGGCCCCTGGTCCTCCTCAAACACCAACTTAAACTCGAACTCACCCTCTTCCCAGCCGGAGCCCGGCGCGGCCCCCATCGGACCGGATACAGATCGAGTGATACGACCTTATCTCCCTGCGTCGGTACAGCGACTTTTACGCATAGACTGAATAGCTTTTACGTCGTTGGTGCGCCAAACAAAAAACGTTTCCGGAGATATTCCCAAAAAATGTATTTCTCCTATGTTCTTATCATTGTGCAAGTTGTCTATCCATCCTCCTGGAAGGTTTTGGTGTAACTTCAGCAACTTTTCCAAGTCTTTTCCACACGATGATGACTGCCTCTTTCTCGCGTATTTGCAACTTTTTCAACTTGGATGCCTTGCGATCCAAATCAAATCTTTGCTCTAGATATTTCACAATCTTTTCCGAATCACATCCCCAAGTTACAGCCGGTTCTTTCATTCTAGCTCCATCGCAATCCCCGTGTAGCTTCTTCTTCTTCAAGACAGAGAGAGAGAGGGGAGGAAAAAAGTTTATAAAATATTTTTGTCGTCCTTTACCCTTAATTGCCTTTGGGTGGGTTTCCCAGCTCCAGTTGGTCCGTTACTCATTCCCCATAGGACCTCCTGCCTGTCAGTCAAGTATCCCCCTGCCCAACCTCCTGCCTCCCTCTTCTCCCCCCTCCTCACTCACTGTGGAGGTTTATCTTTTTCTCAAACTCACATCACATTAACTAAACCAGTGGTGCAATGTAACTAAGTACATTTACTCAAGTACTGTCCTTAAGTTAACAATTGAGGTAGTTGTACTTCACTAGAGTATTTTTATGTTATTACTTATTATGTTACTTAATACTTTTACTCCACTACATGTTGAGAGGAAATGCAGTACTTTTTACTGCACACATTGTATTTCACATACTGTGTATATATTTATATAGTTGCTATTTAATATGCAGATTTAGGTTCGTATAAATCAACAATACATTATCATATATTTGTATACGTTAAACTACCTAGTTGTAGATTAAGTAACTCAAATAAACAACCTCTTACAGCGCAACATTAAAGCGAAGAACACATTAATGCACCAATCATTTTAATACAATATTTTAAAATATGTATAAAATAGGCCATTCTGTTTAACGAGTACTTTTACCTTTGGTACGTAAAGTATTTTTTAAGCCGATTATTTTGTACTTTTACTTCAGTAAGATTTGTACACAGGACTTTTACTTGTAACTGAGTATTTTTTACACTGCAGTATTGCTACTTTTACTTTAGTAAATCATTTCAGTACTTCTTCCACCTCTGAACTCAACATGCCAAGACACATTTTTAAAACCCTAATAATGGCTTGTCTTTATCTTAGTTTGCATCATCCACACACCTCTCTCTGCTGTTTTCCCACTATTATCGTCAGTATAAACCTCTCTTCTACACATTTAAGCCTAAAACACTTTGATTATTATTCTGGTCATGAGCAGGAGTCATGGCAAGCAGCTCACTGTCTTTAAAACCTGCCATTGTGTGCCGGCTGCATGGCCACCAGCGCTGTGATGTTAACTGTCAGTAGTGAACATAAGAGGGCCTATTTCCTGTGGCGATGAACACGACAGCCCCCCCCCTTTCCTTGCTGTCACTCTTCCCTCTCCTCCCCCTTCTTTCCTCTTCTTCTTCTTTTTACCCCACTTCTCCTTGTCCCTCCTTCTCTTGAGTCTCCCCCTCCTCCCCTTCCTCTCTACCAAAGATCTGTTTCTCATTATCCTCTGTAGTCTGCTCTCTGTCTGAGTCAGGAGACGAAGAACTTAAATAAACACTCTCTCTCTGGCTCTCTCCAGCTCCTTATTCCTCCCTCCTCTTCCTCCCCCTCCTCCTCTCTGTCCTCCTTTCCTTGTCCTCCTCTGATTCTCACAATCATTATTATGCATGTTATACTTGCATGTGGCTAGGGGCTTGATTCACTCTCCCTGTCATCCTCTTGGGGTTGTGTGGGCAGGCCTTGGATCTCAAGATGTTGCTGTCTGGTAAGAGAGGAAGGGAAAAAGTGCCACCAGCAGGGCCAAAGGCCGAATCGGATGTACCCACACTCCCACCAAATCCCGTTAGGGTTAAGGGTTAAATCCGATGCAATTTAGTTAATACTGTAGACAGTGGGTTAGGATTAGGATTATTGGGTCAAGTATTTTGCCCGATGACACTATGACATGTCAATTGATAGGGATTTAAAGGTGGGGTAGGTAATTTCGGAGAAACCAGCTCGAGTGCGCTAGAATTTGAAAATACACAGCTGGAGAAAATCTTCCACTTCCTTACAGAGCCCCTCCTCCAACACACACGAACGCACACATGACCAATGAGGGCACGAGATAAATTTGTGCACAGATGGAAGGCTGACAGGCAGGTAGGCCATCCAGTTATTTTAGCCAGGCCGGCTAAGATGATTGGTCGTGCTTTTTACAGCACTACGGCTTCCACAGATGAATTTTTTTTTATGGATTTGTTGTCAAAGCATTTAAGATATTCATTGCTATCGGGATATTAAGAGCATTCCATGGAATATAATGAAAAGTGTGTCTCGAGCAGGTTTCTCAAACTTACCTACTCCACCTTTAACTTCTAATACTCCTATTGTCTTCCCGAGGAGCCTCAGAACAGCCGCTCATCTCTCTCAACATCCGTGGTAAAAATGAATCCAAAGAGAGTTAATTTAGTTGTTTGTGTGTTCTGTTTGTTTGGGGCCCCATGGTGGCTATTAGTAAGGTTGCTACTTGTTATAGTGCCAGTCTAGACTATCTCACAGCCTGCAACGGAAGTATATCCCCATGTATGCTTTGTTACCTAATTGCATGGTTTTCCTGCCTCGTCTTGATTTGACTCACTTCAAGCACCAGGTTCTTGACATTATCTTGTTTAGTAACCTCTTAGTGCAAGAAGGGTTCTCGACTAATCATCATAGCGATGCGTCCTAGTCCTAACCCAGCGCATCAGCAGCATGGCTCGCAGGGAACTTGGGAAAGAAAAGTAAAAGGTATTATCCAGAACTTTTGCACCATACCATGCAGCAGCAATGCAGCATAAGACTTCAGACCAAAAACAAAATGATGAAATACAATCCAGAATGTAGGACAGTACATGATTACGCTTAATTAACTTTGTAATACTTTTACATTTGTATTGTTTAAATTGTATCTTTGATATTGCTTCACTTTCACTGAAAAGGTCCATGTTGTCAGTATGGTATGATTGCCATTTCTGTTTTCTTTGCAGGAAAACAAAAAACAACGGTCCATATTTTCTGGAGAGTTTGACGAACGGTTTTGCAGGGCAGAGTAAGAACAATAACATTTACAAGTGGATCCAAATCACAGGGCGGATACACGCATTGCTTTTCACTTTTAGAAACAAATGTAGCAGAGGTCTGCCCTCTCTGAAGGTTGTAATGGTGTTATTGCAAATTAGCCTTTTAGCACAGCCTCAGGGGTCTGTGTTTCCGTCTATGAAAATACGAGTGACTAAATCTTTGAATCTTGACACAGGATATAACACATTGGGAAAGTTATAGCAACAATCATTTCTCCATCTCAATCATCGCAAAGTAAACAGAACTGCAGTCATTTTCCAGTCATTTGTGTTTGCATATCCTTGGTTGGGTAACCCGGGATTACATCGCTTTGTGTTGTGGCTAAATTTGAGCCAGGTTCAACGTTTTGGGGTTATTTTCCCGCTGGAGGGAAGCTGGTTTCCTAACTTTACTGTCACACAGATCCTCAGTTGAGTCTAAGAAGGCACACGTCATTGTTTTGGAAAGGCTGGCGTTGACAGATTCTTAACTAGTTTTTAAACCTTTTTTTTGTGAACAATGTTTTTTAGTGTGGATGGAAGGCGAAAATGGGGACATTGACCGCGATAGGCTAAGAGGCGGGACATCTCTCAGGGGTTGTCCAATCATAACAGAGCTGGTCAGCTAACCAATCAGAGCAGACTCAGCTCTGATTTTAGACAGAGGGGGAAAAGAAGTGCCACAAAATACAAATATGAAAATTAAAATGAGTATTATAGGGCCCCTTTAATTCTCAACTAACTATAAAAATAGGTTTCACATCTGGAACAACATAACTATGCTTGCCAAAATGGTAAAAGCAACAGTTTTAGTTTAATGAGGTTTTGAGCTGTAAGACCAAATGAACACTGTGGTAACTGGTTAATAAAGTAAACTACATGCAGGTACTTTATGAATGCAGACGTTCATTTGTGCAGACACAAAGCCTCTCTAGAAATGGAAAGTTTTTGGAGGGTTGTGAAACTGTAAAGCTGAATGGCTAATAAATTGTTTAAAGGAGAGCAGCAATGAGATGGATGAGTGCAACACAGAGGAGGAACTGCTGAGTGTCAAGTTTATGGGAGGGAAAGAGAAAAGGGAAGGAGTGATTTTCGGTGGTGTGTTGCCATCAGGTGGTGAACGGCAGAACAGTTTTACAGAAACCTTAAAGTAAAACCGTGAGCTCGGAATCCACACCCTGAGGACACAAATTATTGTTATCAAAGCAAAGTGTTGCAACCCGGGCGCTGACACAATTATGGTTTGAGCAAGAGAGAGACATGATTTATCGAATCTGTAGATTTTACTAGAGAACATTTTGTGCTTTTAAAAACAAGTAAAATATATTCCGACAGCCTAAAACAGGACGTGTTTAATCCACTTTCGTTTTACCTACAATTAGAAACCCATATTCTGTCATTGTCATAGTAATGTAATTTATGACATTGTTTGCTAAATAAAAAATAAGTCATTAGATGAATATGTAAATTGTTACTTTTTAGATGTATCCGTTTTTCCAATTTAAGCTTGGACAAAATAAGAGTTATTTGATAAAGTATTACATTGAATTTGAGTAGATGATGGTTAAACAATAGAACGCCTAGATTTTACACATATATTTTCATGACATATTTGTCAAAAAAAAGGTTTTTAATGAATCACTATTATAGGAGACAGGGTTTTTCAACATCTACTGTTACACATCAACCAACACGAGATTACTTTTACAACTTTATTTCATTGGCTCTGTTGCCATCTTTTGATTATATCTTGGGTTATATTTCTCTTATTACCTACTTCACATGCCCCAGTATTTACAAATGAAAGACAATGATGTGCTTATAAGAATAAAGGTAAGTTTCATGGTTAAATGATAGTCTTTACAAAGAAGTTCTTATCAGAGTAATCAAACAAAATGTTATATATTCTATATAACCATAAAGACAAATGGGTGACAGCTGTCATAAAAGTGTTTTTTGATAAAAGGCTATGACTTCATCTGATTTAGTTTCATCTCTCCTGCAAAAGTCACGGGCTCATGATATCAAGTTTATATAGTTCTGTATTCTTAAATATTAAGTATAGTTATATGTGATAGGTAAACTGACTAGATGCTGGACTATCACATTAAGCTCTAGGAAAGTAAACCACACCCTTCTTTCCGCCTAATACCTCATTCACACCAACGCAACTCCGGTTCAAGCTTCGTGCTAGAGCTTTTCAGGTTCAGAACCGGTTCTTCGGTTTAGCTCCGGCTCTTTTCACACCGCCCAGAGTCCGACTGGTGCTGCGTCATTGCGTCATCGTTTGCGTCATCACGTAACCGTTTGCGTGCCTGCTTCATAAAGCCAAACCGCGCAGAAACCCCTCACAGCTGACACCGACAACAACAACAATGGCCGATTGTGCTCCAGCTTCCTCTGTACCTCTTCGGAAGACCAGATTCCCAGTAGGTAGCTGGTCTCTTCAGTGGACCACTGCTGCTTGTTAAGTTTCTCCATCGTTGTGTACAAACTGGATAAAACGCCGGCTTTTTGTTGTTGTTCAGGAGTTGATCCCGCCCCTGCCCCCGCCTCGACGTAAGCGTGACGTATGCGGTGCTTTTGCTGTAGCCGGACAATTTTTTGGTGCTTGAAACGAACCGGATTCCGGAGCTAAGAGGCTGCTCCGCTGCGGTGTGAACAGGAAAACCCGGTGCTTATCAAGCTCCAGCTCCGAACCGGCCCTGAAACACCGTTGGTGTGAATGAGGTATAGGAGACTTACAGTAACTTCCAGTGCCATTCAATAATGTGGAAATCCATTTGTATTTAGTGAGTCGTTAAGATAAGATGGACTTTTATGAATCCCTCGTGGGGAAATTGTTTCTCTGCATTTGACCCATCGTGTTAGCATAGGTTAGGAGCAGTGTGCTGCCATTTTGATCGGCGCCCGGGGAGCAGTGTAGGGAATGGTGCCTTGCTCAGGGACACCTCGGTAGCACTTGGTCTTGCCGGGACTTAAACTGGTGACCTTCCAGTTGCCAAGCCAACTCCCTATCAACTTCTCCACCACCGCCCTACATTAAAAAACATTTAGCAGAATTTTCCATATCCGCCTTAAGATATCAATTTTATATATATGTTATTCTTCCATGAAAAAGTAAATGAATGAACTCATAATTTAAGTACTTCAGTATGTAAACAACCTTCACTGATTGTACATAAGACTTGCACTTACACTCGCACATAGACATATATATATAATTACGTTTTACAATAATTTCCCTCATATCTGTTTAAAAGTAAATCAGGTGTTTGACCTAACGCCATCGTTGTTACTCAAATTCATTCTGTTGCTTACATGTTTGCCCTTTTTTGAACTCCTATACTGTCCTCCTGTGTTTCCCTCTTACTCTGTTGACGTCTGAATTTCCCTGCAGGGTTCAATAAAGGTCTATTGTATCTCATCTTAGTAGCCTACCAATAAATGTAGGGGTGTCAATACATATAACTATGCATTGTGTCATGTACAGTAAATACAGTTATGTGTGGAGTTTCCCGTAAAAGCTTTTATTTAAATTAATCTAAGTCAAATATAGAAGTGACAAACCCATTGGTGTTTGTTCAGTCTTAAGGACACATAGATATGGCTTCAGCTCGTCTAATTTAAGTGAAGGTGAACCAGTATCTGCATATTAATCAATCTTTCCATGAGAGTAGAAAGGTTTCATATTTGAGCTTCTTTTTATTACTCAACATTTCACCACTCCCGAAAACCAGCATTCCTTTCAGAGTCAGAAACTTGTATGAACGGGTGAGAGTGTGTGTGTTGTGCGTGTCTACCTGTATGCCTGTTTGTGCTTGTGTTACCATTAGCATCCATGACACAGGGAACTTGTGCAAGGGTTTGAATAACCAATAACTTCTCTATTTCTCCGAAATCGGTAATGGAATCAGATACATGCAAAGTAGGTTTACACAAACAAAGAAATGTCTTTGGTGTATAACGGTGCATACATAAACACAACAGGAAAACTCAATCTGTGAGAAAAGGAGCACATTTATTTTAATAACTTGTTTACTCCAAATGCCACGGATGAAAACCCAGAGGAACTACTGCTCTAGTTAAAATGATGTGAAGTATAGCAGAATGTAATGCGGCCACTTGACTCACAAGCAGAGAAACGCAAATATGCTTTTTGATATATGGAACTTGGACATGCTTTCCGGAAGAATGCATGCTTGTTTATATATATAAAAAAAGAAGAAGATCGTAATTATATATGGAGATGAATTTAAGGGCCTGACGTGTTTGAAGGAAGGCCACACCTCCCTCTGGCTTTCTCTCTCTAACCTCAGCATGTTGCAGCCTGTGGGGCAGGATGTGATCCACGTTATTATGGACAGAGCTAACACACAGCGTCACACAAGGGAAACGCTGCCGGACAGAGCGGAGCAGCGCTGGGATAATTGAATCTGACGCTCATCACAGAGAGACATCCAGTCCTTGGAAGGTCAGTCACTCTCGTGTGTTCACTGGAAAAGTTAATTTAGGACTTTGTATTGACATTTTACTTGAGATTGTACTAACACGTGACTCTTTCCTATTCTTGTTTTTTCCATTTTTGAGTAATTATTTACTTTTCTTGACTTGATTATTTACAAGGAACAGATTTATTACAAACGTATGACTCGTTTTTTTGTTTTAGTTTGGACTGCATGATAACTATATGGTATTTCTTCATTTGCAATCACAGTTCCTGGCTGTGCAAGTCATTTTGGGAATGGTCATTTCTCCGATCTTTTCAAAAAAATGTTAAGGTTTATTACGTTTTTTTGAATGCATTAGGTTGCATATTCGTTTACAATCCATTTCTTAGTTTGTCATTGAGAAAGAAATGACATAACTGTTTACTCCTTAGCGTACTATTTCCATTACAACAGCACATTTATTAAGAGATAATGTGCAGATGTTTGTGGTTTTTACATTACATGTCATTTGATAGACGCTTTTATCCAAAACGACTTACATACATTCAGTACTGTGGACAATCCCCACAGTAGCCATTTGGGGTGAAGTGTCTTCCCCAGGGACACAACGACATGCTGACTGCAGTGGGACTCGAACTTGCTATCCCCGATTCCCCACTGAGCCACAGCCTCCTCCTTTTTGCCTGAACTGACAGACAGCTGTGGGTTGGAACACTTGTGTCACATAGTGTATATAAAATAAATAAAAAAAGCTGTCATTTTGAGCATCCACTTGTTGTTCAGACTCAGCTTTACATGGATGTGTTTACTCTTCAATTGGGTTTACAGCCATCAGGGGAAAATAAACAATTTGCTAGTTGGACCAGAGCTAGGAAATTAAGACTTAATCAGGAAGTAAGGGCTTGATGTCTTGTTCTCAGAAAAGGAAGTGAGATCCTATCGCTCCTCTATGTACATCACTCATGTTCAATACAAAAATTATATTAAGCATATTAATCTACAAATCGTAGTAAGCAATGCATCATCTTTAACTGTGTTTTCTACAGTGAGGTCACCGTATGTGACCTCTGCAGTGGATGTTACTGTGTCCACGTGATAGGACAGTGAGGAAGAAAGAGAGAATAAAAGTGACTCAAAGTCTGTTTCGAAATCTTCTTTGACGTAGGGCTGCTAGTGTTCTGCATGTTTTAGCACGCTGCGCTACCCTGTTGGCTGAAGGTCTGATGTGAATATTTTACAGGCTGCGTCAGGGTAGCAACCGTCCTGTAGTTCTGGAAACAGCTAATGTACCATCGTTAAACAATCATTTCTGATGTTTATCTGGGCTCTTTTTGGCGCTGGCACAGTATTTTGTTAATGGAAGTGCTATTAACAATTTTTTCAGTTTTTACTACTTCCTTTCTATCATTTAAGTTATTTCAGTGAACAATTTCCTTCACCAAGACGCTGTTTTTACCACATGTTCCTGGAACTCAAGGGATCAAGGCAATGGCAGTCCACATCACACAGACGTGGAGATACGGACAATTAAAGCTTTTCAAACGTTTTGGAAATGGTTATTATTACAGGTTGCTAAACATTTTGATTTAAATGTCATGATAGCTTTTATAAATACATCTTATATCAGGATTGTGTCACTTTTTTGAAGCCGCAGGAGAGAGAATATCATAAGAGAATCTGCTGATAGAGTTTTAATAACAAGTTTTGTGCAACTTTACTCAAATTAGATTGAAGTGTTGACAGGCACCCAAAAAAACCAACCTTTGCCTTTGTGCGTAATAGCACATAATACAAATCAGTGATGAAAGACTGTTATGAGAATTAAGTTCAAACGCCAAAAAGGATACATTCTTTATACTTTAAACGTAATTAAGATTTATTCTGTCCATCTAAAAATCATCTTTATGAGAGACTTAATCATCATTTTTGAGATACAGATACTGGCAATTAAGTTAGAAAGGTAGCCACACATTTATTGGAATTTGTTAGAAATGTAATCTCAGTTAAGTGTAAAGGAACCAGGTTCAAAATGAATGTCATACAAAGAGAAGAGATGTAAAGAGACAGGTTTAGCACGTCCTATAGAAGCTGCAGAAATTACAACCGACATTCAAATCAATCATTAACCTAAACATATATCCAGACACATACATGTCAATCTTTACACCTAACCCTTTACTTTAATGCCAGACATGTTGACGCGTTACCTTTCTATCCTATCCCTCAGGTCCCAAACTTCGTCCATCATGTCCAACGCCACTGGATCCCGCGTGACGATCCCTCCAAATAGCACAGTCGGAAACATTGAGGATAAAAGCGTGGTGAGCAATGACTTCTCCACGACGCTGGGAGCAATCATCCTCGGCCTGGTCTTCCTCCTGGGCGTCCCCGGAAACCTCTTCATCGTCTGGAGCATCCTGGCTCGCATCAAACGGCGCTCGGTCACCACCCTCCTCATCCTCAACCTGGCGTGTGCAGACGGCCTCCTCATGGTCCTCACCATCTTCTTCATCATCTACCTGACCATGCAGACGTGGGTGTTTGGAGACGCCATGTGCAAATGCCTGTTCTACCTTTGCAACGCCAACATGTACGCCTCCATCTTCCTCATCACGTTGATGAGCGTGCACAGGATGGTTGCCGTGGTGTTGCCGAGGAGGCTCTCCACCCTGGTGAGCAAGAAGGTGGTGAGGAGGGTGATCTGGTGCACATGGGTGTTGGTGATGCTCATCGCTATCCCCTCGCTGGTGTTTCGAGACGTCAGAGAGGACCATGATGAGAAGAGAAGAACAAGGCTTGTGTGTGCGCCCAATCACACAAAGCCAACACATGTGAGTATAAGCAGAAGAACTCAGATCATTAACTTAAAATAATTCTGAAATACTCAACATCAAGTAACAGTCATGAATTTGAATTCTTAGTATTATGAGCTTAAAGGAGCCCTTTTAGGTTTATTGGTCAATCACTTGTCCCGCCCCTTAGCCTATCACGTACAATTTGTTGGAGCGCTAGCCAATAGTGATTGACCAATAAACCTAAAAGGGCTCCTTTAAGCTCATAATACTAANACCATAGACACAAGTGACTCCCAACTAAGGGGTGGGGGTGAGGGTAGCCAAACTTCAAAGAACGGTAGAGAAAGACTGGTAAATAAATGCTCAATGATTGTAAATATCAACGGTTTTCCTCGGGAAACAACATTCACGATTTTGTGTAAGGTAAAATACTTTACCTCGGAATGATGGTTAAAGATTATTCCTATCGTCATGTCTATTTACACCCGGAAGTGATTTTTTACCTTTTAAACACGTTAACCGTCTATTCGGTCGTTACTGTGACGTCTGTATTATCGGTTTCGTTGGCCAGGTCCAACGGGGGACAAATAAAGTACAGAATATTTCGAATAAGTTACTAAATATTTCAACAAGTGTTGGATTAATTATTTACTTAATGTTTGATAACCGATTGGGAAATATTCCCATCAAAGAATACATTTCACCATGTTTATAGATCGTCGGTGTTTGTGAAATGGTTGTTCACAAAAAAAAAAAGAACCACACAAAATGACTTCTACTTACACGGAAAGTAAAAAAAAAAATAGAGGAGGTGACTGGGAGTTGTACGACGGGACAATGTACTACACTGTCCCGACGCCCGTTTTCGTCCCGACGAAATAATACCCGTTTTTAAGTATTAGAGCTAAATAAACGGGCTAGTTATTAATATTGAACGCTAATAATTTACGCTAATAAGTAACTGAAAACTTTTGTAGGTAAATAACCTTTTTTTTTTTTTACACTTGTCATACAAAAATTGTCGAACCTAATGGGACTTGAAATTCAAATAAAGTTTGACTTTTTGGTTTTTTTTATATATATTTTTTTCCTTTTCAATTATTTATTATTTTTTACAACAAACAAAAAAAAGCGATTAGCAACGTTCGGAATTAGCATTAGCGGGCTAATTTTATGCTAATTAAACTCGTCGGGATCGCCGTTTCGTTCCTCCGGAACTTTCAGTAGTTGTGCTTGAGGGTATACACTGTGAGTATGTTTTTAATGTCGGTGTTAGTTCCTCCCCTCCTCTGCTACTCTTAGTTCTTCATTTATCTTTGTCTCACTTCGTTTCGTCCCCCTAAACCACCTCTCTCACCTACGCCGTCTCTCCTTCTCCTCTACTCGCTCTCCTTCTCCTCGGTTCCATTATCTTTTTTGGGTCCACCCCCCCGCACCTTCTTCCCTTCTCCTAAACTCCTTCTTTCTTTGTTCTTACGGAGCTCGTTACGAAACGTACCCTGCCCTTATCTCTCGATCACACCGCAGTACTTTTCCCACAAAGGTTCATGATCAACTTAGTTCATCAGAACTCTTTAGTTCTCATGAACTAAGTACAGATCGCGTTCACACCGGAATAAGTCCCTGGGGGTGGATTAGGCAAATGAAGCCGCTGACGTCACTTCTTCTTCTTCTGCTTTGGGTTTACTGGCAGGCCTCAAACAACTTCACGGCGTATACTGCCGCCCAAAATCCCCGGCCGGAAGTCCCCGGTTGTTGGGGACTGGCTTCAGTAGAAACTGCTGGGACTCACAGCAGCTTCTACTGAAGCCTTCCGAGTAAATCGCCAGAACGCCGACACCTCCTCATCTCCACCGCTCCCATGTTTTATTTTGTGTTGCCATAAATTAGTCTCTCTGCGTTTCTGCGCTGGGCTAATGCTAATGCTAATAATGCTAATAAAATGGTGGCTTCACAACACTTTTTTTGAGTTTTACGGAGCGTGGTTTGCAATCCGCCCAGCCAATCAGAAATATAGCTCTTTTCTCACAAGAGAGCCGCATGAGAGTCCCTGCTCTCTAGCAGGGACGGAAAAGGGGGTAAAAAGGTTCTCATGAACTAATTTTAGTTCCGGCTCTTTTTGGTGTGAAGGCGACATTTCGGAACTATATCGGAACTAAAGTGGGAAAAGTACTCCGGTGTGAACGCGGCTAAGCTAGTATCACTGTTCACAGAGAGCAGACGATAAGACACCTCCAGCTCTGATGGAGGAAGAAACTAATCATGAAAGGGAAAGAAAAAGTCACAAATATGTGAAGTTCTGCTCCTACAATTACAATAAAGAAAATCAGGTATTCATTGTTCAATGTAGATTTGTATATCAATACATGTATTTCAAACTACTACTTTCTGCATTATATGATGTTTCAATCAATTCCAACCTGAACCACTTTGAATGGAGTTTAAAGATAATGTCAGAATATATAATGTATACCCAATAAGTATTACATTTTTTACATTATAAATACATTTTCACCATGAATTGTGCTGTTTCTCTGGGAGACATGTATGCTTTACACATTGTACATCACCCTGAGATAAATGTGTCATTTGTCATATTGGGTTATTTAAATGAAATGTTACTAATTGATATAACCTGCATTTTGATTCAAAATCCAAACAAATTAGCATATGTCTTAGCCCATGATGCATGATGCATGGCAGAGTGCAGGGTGACAGTGCAGTGTTCCTGTGGCAGTTGGAGGTCCAGTGAGCATGACTGCGTTTGATCTCTCCTTCCACATGATTTCCTGCACGAGCTCCACTTGCTGCATGGTGTTTGACCAGCAAATCCTTTTATAGAGCCTTTATGCTGCCTCTGTAAAAAGGTTTAAAAAACAATGATATTCTTACATAATTATGGAGTTGTACAGTGTCACTGCTTTTGGGTTTTGTTCTCAGTGAACGACCACACCATAGTTTTCAAAGTAAGCGAGAACAAAGACAAAGAACTAAAATCTCATCAGCGTTACTCACTCCTCCTCGTCTCGTCTCATAATGGACTTTCTGTCATCTTTTGAAGGCAGTGCTGATGTTGTCTTTACTTTCAGCTCAGAGATGGATGCCTTTTGTTTTCAGTATGCTTGACTGCTCTCGGGCAACAAATCTGTTTCGCTTTTTCTTAGTTTTTCTGCTGATAAAGTTCCTAATTTCTGGTGTATTTGTATTCATCTGTTGGAAGAATACAAAGTTATTCACCCCACTGTCCCTGCGTTCATAAACAGTGTTTGCAGGTGTAAGTGTTTTGTGTATTGTAAAGCCTGGCACTGGATTAACTGTTTTAATATCAGGAACAGTGTGAAGCTGTATTACGTTTTTTCTCCAAAGTAAGTAATGCTTTCCAGAATCAAAAGAGGTATTGTACATGCTGTTTTTAAGCGATTTACACATCCATAACTTGGTTCCCTGAAGCTTTGATTATAATTTAGATGGCATTTCCTTCCTCCCTTAACACAGATTTAGTCAAATATAAATACATTTGTATTCACCTCTGCCACCTGCAATCAAAATGGGATGTCAAATATCAAATTAGATTGAATGCTGGGACCATAATATTATGTATGAAGTCATCTTTGGTGTGTGAAAAACCCACCTACCTCATTTGCAGCATACATAAGCGTCAATGAGCACTTAACTTTACTTCACTTCAATCATCATAATTACACAGCTACATAACCTTTTGATGTCAAAATGCACTAATTAACAGATTTCTAATTCTACACTGAATAATTTCTTTCCTTTTTAAATATACAGCTTTAAAATAAGATTGTATTATATGTGCAACTCAAATTAATCCTCTCATTTAAAGACAAAGTAGACTTAATGGACCAGTCTTCAACTATCTCTGTAAAGCAGAATAGCAGCAGTGAAATTGCACAGTTTTATGTGCAATTTCAGCTCTTCAAGGGTGATTTTCCTCCCCTATAGATAAAGGTGTTAATGCCTCTATTGGAAGCAAGGAAGCAAAGATTAGTTTGACATTACTTGGACAAAAAAGAAGCCTTAATGGGTTACTCATCAGAATGTAGTCCCTTGAGCAAAACTCAAATTGCCTCCTTTAGTTCAAAGTCACAGTTCCTACGCAGAAAACCAAACACATGTTGTGGGAGCGGTTCCAGCAGAGTGATTTCAGGCAACATTCAAGGTTGCAGCGGGAAGAAACAAAATCAATGTTTCAAAGGGACTGATGGTTTCAGTTTTATCTGAAGGCTGCATGTATGTGTGGTTATTGTGAGAGAAAGTGCAGTGTCAGCAAAGAGAGAAAGGGAGGTGAGTGATGGAACTCCCAGTGTGTGAATAAGACTGGTGGTGGTGCCGCAGCTGCAAGAAAATCATTTTCTCTCTGCTTGTAATTTAAGATTTCTTTTACCCAGAGGAGTCTGCTGTTGAGTGGATGACAAAGGACACTCAAGCTTCTTAAATCACATTTTAAAATCTTTCAGCGAGATACAAATGATGAAATACCCAAACAACGTTATTGTTAATATTACATTACATGTCACTTGTTAGACGCTCTTATCCAAAGCGACTTACATACTCAATACTGTGGACAATCCCCACCGGAGCACTTTGGGGTGAAGTGTCTCGGGGACACAACGACATGCTGACCGCAGTGGGGTTTGAACCTGTGACCACCTGATCTGAACACCAACTCACAACCCACAACCCACTGCGCCACACACCGCCTAATATATAGGGCAATGATGCAAACCGCTTTAAAAGACAAGCAAGAAAACAAAACGGGTACTGTTCCACATTTGTGCGTGCAGAATATGTGTCAATGTTGTTTTCCTGGAGCCTGTTCATCTTTGGGAACTACTCTACTCTTTCACCTCCAGACTGTTCCCATTAGTCATGGCTTTAGAGAGATATACTGTAAGTAGATGGCTGACAGTCCATAACAAAAAAGTCCTTTGTAGAGGCACAAGACACTTTATGTGACCAAAAGTAGAATTTCAACTTCCAGGCCCATCGCTGGATGCCATAGGGCGCACATATATATTTAAGCAATAGCTCACGACAGGCCGTGGTATATGCTCATTATATCACAGTTAAGGGGCGTGGTTCGGCCCGACGCGAAGCGGGGGCAGTTTGCTTTTCAGCCTAACTGTATACTGTTTTTCTCAGACGCGGAGGGATACTGACTTGTTGTGAAAAGTAACTTATAATTCTACCCGTGGTATACGCTCAGTATATCACGGCTAAGAACTAATCAGATTGCTTGATTTCACTTGTCCGTTTTATAAATATATATATATATATATATGTTTTCAGACATGCAATAAATAAAGGAAATGCTAGTGATTTAGCTCTCTGGGTCCATAGATGCAGAAGATAACTGGAAGATCAGATTAAATATATTCTCCACAGTCTGTCCATTTTGGCTTCATGCGCCAACGTGGTCCTGCCTCCGTGCTGTATCCAGCTCTCTTCCGTGTCCATTAACAGCCCATCCTCATGTGTTCCCCTCCATTGGCTCTTTTTAAGACCACTGTCCAGGTTGTGTTGAGCAATTATTCTTCAAAACTCCACTTCTTTGTAAAGTGGTCAGCTTGAATCATTTATCAACTCAGTAAGATGCTGCTCACGT